CATCATCATCATCATCATCATCATCATCATCATCATCATCATCATCAGGAGGAAGGTTATAGGTTAAAAGGTTAGAGAAGTGTGTTGAATCTCTATAAGAACTACCGCTGACGTGCCCCAGAGCAAGGCACATAAACCCCCGGACTCTCTCTCTGTGCGCAAATATTGTTTAAGTTCAGTAGTGCTCCCAGAAGTCAACGCTGCACCCCTCCCTTCGAGTAAAGGCACAAGCTTTGTTACAAGCTTTGTTACGCTCAGAATTTCTCATGAAAGAAGGAGCCCCCCTTCTTGCTCCTTCGTCCGTCAGCAAAATGAGGCCGAATCAGCTGGTTCAAGTTAAAATCAAAAAGTATTTAATATCTAACAAATGTAATTACAAATTGAATTACACAAATATATCCCATGGAATAGAGTTCTGATGTGTTCTACTCGACAGTCTGGTGTATTCCAGTTAGCTGTCCAACAGTTCACAACAGATCTGTCGATTCCCGGAAACTCCTGGTTATTTATCCTCAGACAAGTCCACCTGTTTGCAATAGTCATCACAAAGCTCAGCCCAGGGATTGGTTGAAACCTCTATCTACTTCCTTGTTGTTGTCGTGATCTGTTGGATTGTGGTCAGCCACCTCTTACAACAGCTGCACCATTGTCCTTGAGTTCCTGTTATCAACAATCAATAACTTATTTCGTGGTGACGTGATGTTTCCGAGTTCTTTCACAATCGCAAAATACATTCAGTGATTTTCCTTTTGGTCTAAGCCTTTAACAAGTGAACATATTGCAACACATAACATCCAGCACTAGGAGTGCTTTTAAACATAGATTTCTCACGGCTTCCAGGAGTCATCTTTGAGCGATGGGGCGTGCTTGTTTTTGTTTTCGTTCAGACGATTTATCAAATGCGTCCTGTCTACTCGCCTGCTTTTTGGATTCAGCAGCTCTAAGTAAATGCCCTCTGCTTACCAAATGTGTGCAAAGCCCACATCTGATCTATTTTAACGCTCCAGCCCTCTCCCCTGTTTCTCTCACTCTCTTTGCTCTCCGTCTCTCGACTCCTTCCTTCCAAGCAGTTATTTATAGAGGCTTTTCAGACAAAAGTCCTGCCAGTCGGTGTCACGCCTCCTCCCAGCGAAATGAATGCCGATTTCAAACGTTCAAAATGGGAAGGGAGGGTGAGAGATGGGAGTAATCGGGCGGAATCTGTGGAACAATGAGAAGGAATAAATAGTCAGTTACAGACGCATGAGGTCATTTTGCGATATCAAGTTTGTGAGGCGTGGCTTTGACAAAACCAGTGATATTACCTCAGAAGGAAATATTTATCTCCCTCACTCTTTTTCCGTTGATTGTCCAACTTATTTTACTATTTATTAGACCGCGCAGCATACCGACAATGTACTTGGGTCAACCATCCATCCAGTTTCTGCCACTTGGGTCTGGGGGAGGAGGCAGCAAGAGTCCTTCGCAGTCACGACCTCCAGCTCTTCATGGGGGCTGCCAAATCCTTCACGGGCCAAATGGGATACAAAACCTCCTCAGCATGTTCGGCCTTCAGGAGATATCATAATCAGATGCTCGGCCGGTCCCTAAGGGTGACCCTGACACCCTTCAAACTCTTCAGCGCTGTGATCTCGTTCTTACGGCCACAGGTCAACAACTAGAAATAGACAGACTTGTAAATTGAACGCCTGGCCCTCACCACCTGTCAGCGACTCTCCGTCTCGCCTCGTCCACTTGTCTTATTCAGAGGATCATAATTTGATCATTTGTCCAGCAGGAACCCAGCGATCCTGAAGGAAAAGAGTCGACTGCACACCGCTTGTTGCAGTGCTCTCCGTGTTGGAGGAATAATGCTTGTGCCAAGAGTTTTTAGCGTGTGTACTTAAATTGAAATGCCTATTGACACATTTGCAGTTTGAATTTCTTTAAGTGGCACATAGTTTGTTCTCGTGCTCATACTAACGACTCAGCTTTTCTGTTTATCGAATACATGCTGTCGATGTGGCCAGAAGCATCCATCACATCGCTTCCTGTTTAAGTGTAGTTGTGTTGGATGCAATCAGTCGGCAGTAGGCAGAAGTAATGCATACATTTTTCTTACATTTCCAAGTTATGGATTATCTCATCCGGGTCGAAGGACAGACTGTGCCTCCAGACTCTCTCGCTCTGTCACACACACACACACAGATCACAACAAAGACTACAGGGCTCTCGCTCACTGCTGAAATGAGATCCTATAGGTGTTTCAGTGTTATGCAGCAAAGTAATCTTTTTGGGATGTTGAGGAGACACGAGGCGACATAATGAAAGAGAGACCGAGATACAGTCTCTGAAAAAGAAACAAAACAGAAAAAAATAGGATTATTTTTTTTCTTTCCTTTTTGTTATCTTGCATCAGTGTGAGAAAGTTTCTGCAGGAAAGCGTGATGATTAAGTGCAGTTCTTTCAGGTGCAGATGACACAGCGCGGCTCTGCCTAACATACAGCGCTTATGATCCCGACTCTTAACTCTCTCCAGGCAAGACTCAGACGGCAGAGCTGTCTGACTATTCATCTGCTTTTTTTAATTTTTCCTCTACTAGGCGTCTGCTAAGTAGAACTGTTTCTCATGGCATGTTCTAGGTTGAGGTTTGCCATACACGGCACAGAGTGTTGTTCATGTTGTATGTACAATATATGCATATAGGTGTTATATATGTTAAGTTTGACATCAAGGAAACTGGAAAACGCTCCTGAAAACTTCATTCTGGAAGGTTTTATTCATGCAGCAATTTTAATATTTTGCTAAATATTAGTATTGTGTTCTTTGTCATGAATCCCATAGACAATTGGAATATTTCCCCTCATCATTTAATTCAAAATATAATTGTCCAGCAGTAAAATCATGCTTTACAGGTGCTTTTCAAGCCCTTTATATGCACTTAGAGGTACCCAAGAAAGCAATAAAGCTACAGTACATCAAAATTAACATTACAATTTCAATCCAATTCATAATAGATACGATTTTTTTTTAACAATAGATCATTGGATTAGTAGCGTCACTGCTTCGCTGGATTACAGAAAACCGTTAAAGTGATTGTGGAGAAAGAAATAGAACGTGAATCACCTGCCTGATGTCCTCGTCCTCCCAGTCTCCGCTGGCTGATGAGTTGCAGCCCACGAGCTGTTGACAGTCATAGAAT